CAGGGATGTGGTGGATGTGGACTGTGTGACATAATCATGTGAATATGGACCAAAAGCTTTCAGCTCATTGTTAAATCTGTACCATGAAGAATTCAGGCAGTTCTGAAAGCAAAGGGGCGTCCAACCCGATGCTAGCAAACTGCCCATTGAATTTATGTGCACATTAGTCCATATGAGTTGCACATACTCATATCCTTCATATTTTCGGGGCAATATGAGGAACATTTCTGACTCTTACTGTTTCATGCAGAGATTTTGGCCATGTTTCTGTCTGTGGTGTCGATCTGGGCCGTGGCCGTAGTGCTCGTCTTATCAGCCGTGCAGAGGATCTCTGACGGGGAATACGAGATTGACAGTGAGATCATGCTCATAACATCAGGCTGTGCTGTGGGGGTCAATGTCCTGTGTGTGTGCCGAGCTTATTTTATGGGTTATTTCTGCTTGGTTTAGGGGGGCAGTCAGCAGCGATGAGTGATGACGTCTGTGCTTTGTTTTACCCAGGATGATCCTGATCTTGCATCAGCCTGGCAACTCACATGGCCACAGCCATGGGTTTGCCACCAACCTGACCCAGCGGGACAAACATGGGCAGAGCAACGGCCACGATAATGCAAGTGTAAAGGCAGCTTTCGTCCACATGGTGGGAGATCTGGTGCAGAGTGTTGGTGTTATGCTGGCTGCCACCATCATCCACTTCTGGGTCAGTGTAAGATGAAAAATAACAGTTAAATAACAATAACAAAAATAATCAGGATGGGCTTGATAGAGCACTGCACTCTCCAGGTACCCTGGCTTCCTCCCACAGTCCAAAGGTGTGCGTGTCAGGTTAATGGCTGTTTCTAAATTGGTTTTAGGTGTAAGCATTCACTCACTGTAATAGAATAGCAACCTGCAGTTTCTTTCCTATTTCTTTACTATGCACTTATAACAAATCAATTACATGAGCTGTTGCTCATGCACGCATGCTATATGCAGGGTGCAACTTTTTAACACTGACCTTGCTGCTGTAAATGTTCATTAGAGCAATATCACTCCATCATTTGTTTCTGATCATATTTCTGTCTTCTTTACAGCCTGAATATAAAGTAGCAGATCCGATTTGCACCTTCCTGTTCTCTCTTCTCGTTATTGGGACAACGCTTCCTGTCACAAAGGATGTTTTCAGGATACTGCTGGAAGGTAAACACACTTCCCTCCGCCTGTGGTGACGTTCAGATTTTAGCGACAGTTTACCTAACGTGTGTATTTTCTGAAGGTGCTCCTCGGGACGTGAGTTTCGGCGCCGTGAGGGAGCTGCTGCTGTCTGTAGGAGGAGTCACCGCCATTCACAGTTTACACATGTGGAGCCTCAACACGACTCATTCTCTGCTTTCCGTGCACCTTGCCACAGGTAAGAGGCGAAGACGGTACTGTTATTAATGTGGAGAGGAAGCAGAACCTGCTATAAAATCCAGTAAAAAACAGAATTTCCAGTTTTATTATGCTGTTGCCAAATATAAGTTACTTGAAAAATATGGCAAAAAAGAGAAAAAGAAAGTTAATTTAGTTATTTTCTGCTTTTGAAGTTGATATCACTGAAAATAGATACATATAAAAATCAAATAAGATTTGGAAATCCATAATAGTCTATTGCAAATCTGTCTGCAGATTTTTGGGAGTGCCCACTGCCCCCCTTGCCCCCCTTTGGTGGTGCCCCTGCTAAAACTATGGAGGTTTAATTAGAAATTAAACACCACACGCCCATCCTGCACCTTTTATCCTGGTCCTGTAAACATTTGTTTATTGTTTGATCAGAGTGTTTGTATTCTAAGTAAATAGGATGGAAAACCCTTTGGCAAATATTGATCTATTACAGCAGTAATGTAAGGTGCCAGTCAACTGAAAAAGAAAGTTCTTATTGCTTCCACAAGAATTAGGAGGGTAAGAAGCAGCCAGGTGCTGCTAATCAGATGCACGTGATTAAATGATCATCAGCAAATGATTAATTCATTGACGAACTCTATAGAAGTAAAGGTTTTTGGCAATTTTCTGGAGCATTCTAGTTCTTTCTAGGAGTGAAGGTCCTAGAAAACTAAAGAAAAACCAAGATCTAACTCTCAAATTCTACAGGCCTTAGTTAACATGTGAAATATTCAAGTCCATTGGCGGCACGTTTAAAAAAAGACTAAGTATGACTTCTCTGCAAACATAACATGGCGGCACAGCTTAGGTTTGCAAAGTTGCATCTGAACAAACCACAACACAGGAAGTAATGAAGAATATGGACACAAACACCTCAAAACAACCCCCAAAAGGTTGATTCTGTTCATCTGGACGTAGCGTTTTCAGTGGGAGAA